GAAAGAGGCGCAGCCAGACCTGCGTTGTTGGAAAACCAAGAGACTAAGGCTGGCGGCGGATGGGAGGGAGCGGCCCGGTGCTCGCGGGAGTGACGGCCAGCCGTGTTTGGGGTGTTTGCCTCAGGTGAGAAGTTCCCACGTCTTTATTTCTCTGGGCTTGGAGAACAGACTGAACTCGGTGCTGGGAACCAGAAGCTGAAGCCGCTGCAGAGCTGGGAGCCACCGAGGATGTTAGGGAGCCCAGAGCGGAGGTGCAGGCCAGTGAGCCGCCCCAGCCCCCCCCCCACCGCCAACTTACACATCTGTGGGGTGTGAGGTGGGGAGACGACCTTCTAGAGCCCAGCCGGGCCAGAAGGTGAGGAGACGGGTCTGTGTACGAGGCGACCCTGACTTTGAATTGCACCTCTGCCCCTTGCCGAACCTGCGGCCTTGGGCAAACGACCTAATGCTTTCAGAGCGTCAGTTTCCACATCTTTGAAATGGGGGTCAGCCTGCCCCCGGCCACCAGAGGACTGCTGCGCAGACCGAATGAAATCATGCGCACAGGCTGCTTAGCCCGCTGCTGGCCTCGTCGTCCACATCCATCCATTCGCTGTCGGTAATCATAACGTCTCCCTGAAGCTGCCAGACCAGCGCCTGGCCTCCGAATTCAGAAATCCACTGGGTCGGAGAAACCGCCCCCAGCTGAAGCTCTGTCAGAGGGAGAGGGGACGCATGAGAGAACAGCCCTCCCAGGACAAGCGTGTGTACTTCCTGCCGGGTACAGTGCCCTTCCTGCCAGCCCGCCAGGCCGGGGCCGGCTTCCTCAGCCCCTGGGCCGTGAGAGGGGGGACACGGCTGCCTCAGGGAGGGGCCGCTCAACTCCTCTACCCTGGAGCCGGCCCAGGCACCCGTGGCTCCCCTGCCCTGCACCCTGCTCCCAGCTGGCCAGCAGCCCTGCTCTGGGTACCCGGCTCCTACTCCAGGCGTTTCTGGGTCATCTCGCTGCCCAGCTTCTGATCCGTCCCTGCACCTGCCTACATCTGGGTCGCCGGTCCCCGTGGCAGACAGATCTGCCCGTCTCTGTGTTCATTTCACTCTCCACGGTCGTGATCATCGTGTTCCGGACAGGAGCTCGGATTAAGAAACCACCCACTTGTGCACTGACAGGCTCCCCCTGGGGTGCAGGGTGGCGCAGCTGCCGGCTGTGTGCCCACACCCCTCCCCACTGGGCGGGCTCCTCACGGGCAGAACCCAAGAGTGTGCTGTGGTCCCTGCCAGGGCCGAGCAGCGAGCTCGACGGGCGCACCCGAGGCTCAGTGAGCGCCATCGTGAACCACGCCGTGCTAGGCAGGGTAGGAATTGGTTTATCACTCGGCCTCCAGTCTTGACTGTGGCCTTGAACGAGTTGCTTAGCCTCTTCAAGCCGCCAGGTACTCATCTGCAAAATGATGCAAATAATAGTTCACATGACATCCTTGTGAAGATTAGCAGAGCGTTGGAGAACACAGGGCTTAGTTTGGGAAAGTGCCCGTGAGCCGTTACAAGTGGTCTCGGAGGCTCTCACTACTGCGAGTTTTACTTCATTGCCGTTGTTGTTAAAGCGATTTCATGTTGGTTTTTATCCGCTTGTTTCGCAGTAGAGCCTTGCAAAGTAGTGGAAGCAGGTGCGGTGTCCGTTTTACTAAGGAGCAAACTAAGGCTCAGAGAAAGGCCGTTTGTCTACAGTCACGCAGCCTGGCTTGACCCGCCTCTCCTGATCTGTCGCACCTCCGGCAGCCAGGCACATTATTTTGGAGTATGACATGGCCACCGGCCTCTGGGAACAGACTCCTGTACCTTCAAAGGGCAGCGATATTACTCAGCGGGGCCCAGCGTTCACAGTTATCCGGATCATCACTTCTCGCATGGAGGAGAAAGCCATGATTTATTAAGCGAACCGGCCGCACTCCTCCAGGGGTGATGCAGAGTTTTGCCTCCAGCCCCCTCCTCTGCTCCCAAAAGAAACAAAATCAGAGAACAAAACCCCCTGACGAGATGTATCGTGTTCTATTGCATGATGGGAAGGAACGTCAAAAAGAACGTCAGGGGGCTCGCCGATGGTGATGCTGTTAGGGGTAAAGAAGGAATGACTTATGGGCCCTCATCTCCCACGTAGCAGATAGAGTTGGTGGACGTGTTTTTTGCTTCCAGATCTGGTTTAAACCCAGCAGTTGGCTTCTGAGGGCCTGGGCCGGGAGCGGCTACCAGTTGGATGGATAGAAATGAAAGGGCGAAGGCCCGGGAGAGGAAAAGTAGGGAAGCACGTGGAACGTAGGGAGATGCAGGAGGGCAGGGTGCTGTGGGAAGAGAGCCACCTTGGAAGAGGTTTTCGGGGTGCGTGTTGAAAAGCAAAGGCCAGGAGAATCTCCGTGCATAATAGCTAGGCTGCTCCCTGGGACCAACAGGTGCAGAGTGGGGTAGTTACCTTCTCTGCACGCTTAGAGCCCCAGTTGTGTGTCAGGAGCTGAGAAACGGAGGCCACGGAAGGTGGGCGACACCTGGGGGATAGCTGTAGTTTGGAAAAGCCCTGCAGTTGCAAGCTCGCCAGGTCGGGGCCAGGAATCCGGCGCAAACGAATGAAGGTAAGCACAGCAAGCCGCGGGTGCCCGACGGCAAGGTGGCTAACCCAGCTTGGAGTGTGGAAGGGAGTACGTTAAAGAAAACATCTCGGACGGGTGACACGTGAATGTTTCTGTTCGTTCTCTCACTCAGGAAACAGGAACTGACTTTGTCCCACGCGGTAAGCCGCGTGCCAGGTGGTGGTGGCGGAATGACATGTAGCACGGGCACACCTGTGACCCCAGGGAGTTATCAGGCCAGTGGCGCATGCTGTTTGGGAGCGCAGGGAATTCTGGGCAGTGGCGGGGACTGGCCTCTTCGAGGCGCCTGGCAAAGCTGTCCCTGGGAAAGGCCGTCGATACTGAAATCCAAAGAGCGTGTGGACAGCACAGAGGGAAAGAGGACAGTGCCAGCTGGTGATGGGAGGGAGGAAGGTCGGGGTTGCAATTTACACGGATCCCTCCGGGGGCTGCCAAGAGCAGGGAAAGGCATCAGAGGAGGTGGGAAAGGCAGGTCCAGTCAGGAGGCTGGGGCAGTGAGCAGCTCACCTTAATTCTTCTTTCAGACAACAGGGGCTGAAAAGAAAGTTCCATCCCGGGCGCTTGCATTTGCTGTGACACTGAGCCCCAACTGCTGTGGCTCGGGCCACTTCGCGTGTCGTCTGTGGCCACATCCCGCCCCCTCAGCGAGCTCCAAATAGAATCTATTTATTGTCAACACCAGGCGCCTTTAGACAAATCGTGGGTCGGTCTGTAACTAAATCCTGTTGACCTTACATCTAAAATAGCTCTTGAACCTCCCATATCTCCTTTATCCCACAGCCCTGCCTTAGTTCTGGCCCTCCTCCTCTCTGGGCAATCACCCACACAGGCCGATCTTTCGTTTTATTATCGTGATGGTTAAAAAAAAAAAAAATGAAACCCAAGTTAGTTAACATATAGTGTAATAGTGATTTCAGGAGTAGAGTTCAGTGATTCGTCTCTCACATATAGCCACCCCAGTGTTCATCCCAACAAGTGCCCTCCTCAATGCCCATCCCCCATTAACCTGTCTTTGTAAGTTGCAAGTTGATCGTGTTTTATGACCGTTGCCGGCAGTGTAAAGCTTACTTAGTGATTGCATCGGTGAGCTTTCCCTGCGTAACAAGCAGCTCCAAACCTTAGTGCCTTAAACAGCAAACACTTGTTATCTCTTCTGAATCTGTGGGTTGATTGGATGCTCCTTGTGGTCCTAGCAGCTTGGCTGGGACTCAGTGACGTGGTCCACGCACTGGGGGGGGAGCTGGGCTGGCTGGCATGCCTGGGGCCTCTCCCATGGTGTTTGTCCTCCTCCAGGGGACCAGCTCAGGGGCCAGTGTGGCCCCAGAGTGATTCCTAGCAGCGAGGAAGGGGAAGTTTTGGGCACAAGCGCCTTTGAAGCTTTTCGTCTTTTGTTATTGGCTCACTGGCTAAAGCAAGTGACATGGCCAAGTTCGGATTCAGAGGGTGGAGAAGTGGACCTCAATTCACGTGGGGAGAGGGAGCAAAACCACTCTGCAAAGGAGCGTGCGTACACGGTGGCCAGAGCAAATGGGAGGGGCCGTTACCGTACACACCTGTCCTGGCGGCTAAGACGAGGACAGTAGAACCAGACAGAATGGGGGTGTCCCCTTGGGGGCCGCTCTCTACCCCTTACTGCCTTTGTCATCTTGCTCAGGGTTGCTCCCAGGAGCTCTCCCAGCTCCAGCTGCCCATCCATTGAATGGGAATGATCCTGGAGACCACCCCAGGGATTTCGTGAGACAACGCGTGGTCGGTACATCTCTCAGTGCTTGGGGGAAAGTAGGAACTCAACTGAGGGTCTCTGTTCTTACTCAAGGGTGAGGCCTTCCCAAACCATCTCCCACCTGGCCTCCCTGGTGCATCCTAGCCCTGATCTCACATACATTTTTCTTTTATCGTCTTCCTCAGAGACCCTTTCCCCAACCCTTTTCTTTTTGCCAAAAGGCGTTTCACTTGAGCAAGGAGCAGCTGAAACGATCCATCTGGCCTCCTACTGGGTTGGTCATTTCTCCCTTCGCTCTGCCAAATATCATTCACGTCCTTGTATCGTGTTGCCATGAGATGCTTATTTATTTTTCTGTCCTCTCCACCAGCCTGAGCTTCTTAAAGGTGTGGACTATGGTTTACTCAACTTTCTGTCTCTGGTGCTTGGCTGTGTGCACTGAACGGGATAGGTGTTTCTTTCAAAAAAATACTTGATGTATAAATCACTGGGTGGGTGTGTGGGGCATTGGGCGAGTGGCTTTTAATCGTCCTGAGTCATTTTCAAAAGACCACGAATGAGCAAAATGTCAAAAATGACTTCAGCTTTTCTCCTCTTCCTCTTCCCTTCCAGTTGGGACCGTTTTCAGACTCCACCTTTCTGACCTGGAAATGCCAGAAGTGATCATCATCGCCAGGGGCTGTGGCGAGCAAACGTTTTGAGCTTTGTGGCCAGGACCGGAAGTGGACATTCCCTGGGCATACTTAGGTAAATGACTGCCCTCTTCCCCTTGCACGAGTGAGAGGTATTGTCTTTTCTGGTTTCTTCCGTAGAATAATCTTGAGTCGCGGAGGAGAGATGTCTTGTCTTGATCTCTTTATAATTTGGCCTGCCCTCCCCGGGGACATTCCGTTAAGAGGGAAGGCTTTCTCCTAAAGGGAAAAATGTAGGACCGTTAGGATGTCAAGTGACCTCTTTTTCTTGAAAGGAAAGCCTTCTGTGTTTTCATTAAGCAAGTACTTAAAAACCGGGTTGGGAACAGCCTCGTATGGCCAATGCCTGCCATCTCAAAGAAGGTCTGGAATGACGCTGTGCTGGAGTGGGCATCAGCAAACAACTATGACCCACAGGACAAAACCGGCCTGGCCATTTTTTATAAATAAAGTTTTATGGGTACCCAGCCACACTCCTCTGTTCAAGTATGTCTGTGGTTGCTGTCACAGCACACCAGCAGTGGTGACAGAGGCTGTGTGGCCTGAGAGCCTGAATTATTTAGTCTGGTCCTTAATGGAAAAAGCGTGCCAGGCCCTGGACTAGAGTTAAGCTGTCCGCAGGTAGCCACTCCATATAAAGCTATTTAAGTGTCCATTCATTAAAATTAAACAAAATTAAAAATTCAGCCCTCACTCAACACTCACCACATTTCAAGTGCCCAGTAGCCACATGTGACCCATGGCTACCATTTTGGACCGTGCACATTGAGAACGTTTCCATCAGTGAGGAAGGCGGGCTTGGGGAAACTTTGATCGCCCTGCCCTGGGCTGTCTCTCTTCGATCTGCCAGCGTTTAACTCAGCTTGGATATCATGGCAACCACTGTGGAAGAAGGAAGGTTGGTGCATGTATTTGTGTGTGTGTGGCTGTTCTATATGATTATTGGTGAAGACATCTATATCTGTGTCTACCTGCCTTGTCTATAAAAATGGAATTGCTTTTAAAATTTCTTTGGAGGGGCGCCTGGGTGGCGCAGTCGGTTAAGCGTCCGACTTCAGCCAGGTCACGATCTCGCGGTCCGTGAGTTCGAGCCCCGCGTCAGGCTCTGGGCTGGTGGCTCGGAGCCTGGAGCCTGTTTCCGATTCTGTGTCTCCCTCTCTCTCTGCCCTTCCCCCGTTCATGCTCTGTCTCTCTCTGTCCCAAAAATAAATAAAAACGTTGAAAAAAAAAATTAAAAAAAAATTTCTTTGGAAAGCCAACCTGTGGTTGCTGTATATAATTCCATGTAAAAACTAAGCCACTTGGACCTTAGGATTTATCGGTTTTATATATACAAATACGTTGATACAAATATGAGCCTTTCTGTGGTTGTAGGAAGGTCAGACACAGTATGGGGTCTCCTGAAAAGGGGAAGAAGCAATGGCCATAGTGTCTCCATAGGCTGAAGATAGGGGCAAGGGAGGTGAGAAACGAAGAGAGGAGGAAAATGAGCTAAAGGTATGATTTCTGTGAGTCTTGAGAGAATGAGGAGTGATGGGGACAAAAGATGATAGGGAAAGGACTGTGGGTTTACTTTTAAAGAACGTGTTACACACATTAATGATGATTGGGACCTTATCACATCCCAGAAATGGTCTGAGCACAGAAGACCCTTGGGGAGAAGCTTGGACTTGGCCATAGTCCTGCCATCTTGGATGGGTCAGGACTGGGGGTATAATAGGAGGTTCCTCTTATCGAATAAGGCAGTGCAGTGCAGAATAAGAGGCCCAGTCACTGAGATGCCCAGTGTTTACGGATGGGTCTGAAGAGGGAACAGAAAAGAAACTCTAGGTATCCCGGAGGTCTATAGGCAAAGGCCCTAGGTTGTGTCTTTAGGAGCTGGGCTTAGTCGACCTTGGGTTGCCCAGGAACTAGCAAGAACAAAGCAGAGATTCGGACGATGGCAAAAGATTGAATTGATATGTGTCCGTACGTGTAGATCTGAATGGGCCCTACCTCTCTTCTCTTGGTTGGTCTTCAAACTCAGCACCATTGCAGGTGAGGGCTGGAAGCACCTGAAACGGGTGTTTCCATAACGGACCTTCAGACAATGGAGTTGAATGCAGATATGAAGTAATTAGAAGTCACAGTAAGAAAAGGTATTGAGTTTTGTGTAGTTAGTATCAAGCACATCAGGGATAACAGGGGTGATGGTGATGATATTGACAGTGATAATATCATCTATCCATTTTCAGCTTATTACGTGCTGGGTACACTGTTCTGGTAACAATAATATTATAAGAGCTTCAGATTATTGTGCTAAGCACTATATTCACTTTTTCTCAGTATGTGAACCCAGGGTATTCTTTTCAATTGATTTTTTTTTTCCAATGACTTTGTCTTGATATAATTGCAAATTTACAGATAAGTTGCAAAAAACAGCCCCCAAAGATTCCCGGGTACCATTCACTCGGATTCCTTAAGTGTTAACATTTTATTATTTTTGTTCTATCCTTTCCTCTCTCCATTTTTTCCTAAAATCAGAAAATTCTTACAATGACCATACAACTGAGGCCGAAACTTAACATTGACTTGCTACTATTATCTGATCCTTAGGCCTTATTCAGATTTCAGCAGTTGCCCTCTGCGAGGTCCTTCATAGCAAAAGAAAGCCCATTTGGTATGTGCCCTTCTTGGAAAACTTCCTTAGTCTTACATTTCGTGACATTTTTGACATGTTCAAGCCAATTATTTTTCAGACTCTCCCTCAGTGTTTGATGCTCCCTCATGATCCGATTTAGATTGTATGCTTTTGCCAGGCATCCCACAGAGCTCGTGGGGTGTCCTGAAGGCCTCACATTGGAAGGCTGATGCTGGGCTGTCCCATTCCTGCATTGTTGGCTTTATCAGTTGGTTAAGGATGGAATCAGCAGTTGGTCAAGGAGCCTGGGATCCTTTCGGTGGAGAATGGCATCTAGAAATATCCTCTGGTCACAAGATGTGTCCATTGCTACTGAGGGAGCATTGCCTCTAGGCCCTCTGAGCAGGCAGAGCTGAGAAATGGGCAGTGTGTGTGTGTGTGTGTGTGTGTGTGTGTGTGTGCATGTGTATACATATAGATTTGTCATACATATACACATATCCGTATTTATAGACATGTGTATACACATCTGTATATACACCCATATATGTCATATGTATGTGAATATCCATACATAGGTACATCATCGAGATCTTTTCTAAATCAACTGATGTATTAAAAACACCACGAGCGCACACGGGAGATGCTGGCTACAACGTTCTTGATATCCACATCTGTCTTCCTGACGCTGAACAGTCACCCAGGCCCAGTGCCAATACCACAGACCATCCCATTTATTAAACTATAGATCAGGCCCTGTTCCAAACTCTTCCCTTACCGTGACCGCTCATAACAGCCCAGTGGCCCACGTACGGATGAGGAAACGAGAAAGGAGAATTAACTTACGCAAAGCGGCACGGCTGGTAAATGTGGCAAGTTTACAGCGGGTGCCTGTTTGCCTGTTGGCACTGGACCAGATGGCCGGGGGAGACCCCGCTGCCTCGGATAAAAAGCCGAGCCAAAGGCGGGGCAAGTGTTCGTCCCCGTGGATCCAAGACCACTGACGCCCAGAGCAGTAGGAAGGCCACGGCACGGTGGTGGTCACTTCCTTCACTCCCCAGGAAATGTTTACAGGCTGCGTCCCTGACGGAGTCGCGAAACACACAACAGGGTGTGCAGAGATGCACATGGGGCGCAGGAGCATGCAGCCGTGGGGGACTGTGTGTATGTGCGCACGAGCGTTTTCGTGGGGGGAGGGGTGTTGTGTGGCTGCTCTCCTGGGCTTGCAAAGACCTTGATCAGGTTGAGGGTGTGAATGCGGAAGTGGGCGTCTCCCGGGGAGAGGGCATTTCCTGTCTTGCAGTAGGGGTATTCCTGGCCCAGTTGCTTAAGCTCAGAGGCTTTTGTATCCCTAGCTCCCAGCAGAACGATTGTAGGTTGTGAATTTGACGAATGCTAGTGTGAATAGCGTGTGCGTTAACAACGATTCCTGAGCTCTTTCTATGTGCCAGGCACTGTCCTGGGCAGACAAAGGGAACTCACGTCCTAGCAGAGAGTGGGGAAGAGGAAGAGACTGGCAGTAAGCAGGCACCTAACCATGCGGGCGGCAGGGCGGGGGGACAGGTGGGGACGGGTGTAGGATGCTGGTCCAGGAGGAGCTGTCAGTGGAACCCAGTGACACCGCCCAGAGGAGAGCACAACAGTGAAGGTGAGGAGGCCCCCGATCAGAGGACCCACGGGGACTCCTCCCTGGCGTTCACTCTGGAAAGCCAGGCCCGTTTGCTCCAGTGTATCTTTTCAGGCTCGAAGAGCCATGTAAGTGGGCATTATCCCTCAGGACAAGCATTTCCTCCAAAAACATAAATGTTACCAGCGGGCCCAGAGGCGGACTGGAGGCGAAGGCAGCCTCACTAGATAAGAGGCAGTGTTGGTGGTCAGAGATACGGACAGCAGTGAGACCCAGATGGAATTTCTATTGCTGATAACCTTTAAGAGAAGAGCAAGGGTTGGGGAGCAGGGGCTGTTCCCCTGGAAGAGAGGAGACCCGGGGGCCCCGGCTTTGAGCCTCTGAAGACTGGCCAGCACCTTGTACCCGACGATTTTAAGGAGGGCGTCCTAGCGGAGTGAGTAGAATTAGCAGAGAGGTTTCGATTCAGGCTGTGTTTTTCCTTCCTTCTCATCCATGCATTCGTTCGTTCATGCATGCATTCATTCATTCATTCATTCATTCATGCAGCAGAGGCTCTGGGTCCCTGGCACTATGCCAAGCACCCAGCCGGGCTGACGGGTGGGGAGGGAGGACAAAAGGGGAAGACAAGAGCTCTGTGCCTTGAGATATTAATACTTTCATGGGAGAAGCAGACAAATGAACAAGTCAAGAGTGTGCGCACTTTCAGTTCGCCTGAAGCTAAGACAATTTTGGAGTTCTCTTTGAGAAATAACGATACGAATTATGAGTTTCAAGTGAAAGACAAGCCCCAGCTAAGTGGGGTGCT